GGGGGTGTTGGCAGGCACTTACCTGCTTTGCACTCTGTACTTCACACAGCAGAGCACGTGTCTTGCAGCAAATCAACCACAACATTTAACTAGCAGACGTGCAGAGTTGCAAACAGTGCAAAGCAGGCACAAGACTAATCATACTTTTTTTGAAAAAAGTATGATTAACTTTGGACTTTGAACTTTGGATTTAGTAACTTAAGTTCAAAAGTTCATATATAACTTGAAAGTTCGAACTTCACAGTTCAATTCAGAACGTCAGAGTCTTAAGTCCAAACTTTGCAGTTCAATTCAGAATGTCAGAGTCTTCAGACTGGCAGCACTGTCAGTGCTCTCTCTCTCTCTCTCTCTCTCTCTCTCTCTCTCTCTTCCCCCCTCTCTCTCTTCCCCCCAACGGGCAGCAGCAGCTGGCTCCACGTCGAAAAGGCCGCTTTGAAATTGCTCGGGCCTGTGCGAAACCCGCCACCCCAAAAACCTGCAGTGTCTTGTGTCTGGACCTCTAGGCCCTGTCCGGTGGGGTGAAACGACATTGAAAAATCAACCCATTATTTTTCTAGGGGCGGCCAGGACCCGATAAACGTACTGGGCCGCCCCAATTTTTTTTTTTGATTTTTGCCCCAGAGGCCTCAATCCAGACATATTGTCCAGACACCGGACACCAGACACCGGACACCAGACACCGGACACCAGACACCGGACACCGGACTGTCTGGAACCCGGCCGGACGTCCGGGCGGTTACCATGGTATGAACCCACGCCTTTGTTATCTCGGTTGGTAATGGACCTTGTCCACGTCCCCAGTCACTTGTCCTAGTCCCCTTGGTGATTTCAGGCGGCAGGTCCAAGCCTTTTCTGCATCCGCTCCCTGCATCCCTTGCCTTGCATGTAACTCGGGTGAGAACAACGTACTGCGGACATTGCAACTTGTCAGTCCCAATGACTCAGCCTATTTTTCAGTTCTTGCCAGCTCTGATACCAATTCAGACAATTTCACCAACTTCACATTCACACAGACTTGGTTGGGCATATCACACACTTTTTTTTTTTTTTTTTTTTACAAGAGTGGAAAACAAGTCATTTTTATGCATGTCAAAGTTCATTGTTGCTATACAATCACAGCTCTGAAACGCTCCTAACGATCTTTTCGTCACCTTTTCGCCTCTTCTTTTCTCTTCTCTTCTGTTCTCCTCGCCGCCTCTGCACATTTTTTTCGAGGTTCATTGTTGCGCTATACAATCACGGATCTGGCGATGTAACAATGTTTTTCTTTCTTCTCTCCTTCTCTCCTCCTCTCTTCTCCTCTTCTGCTCTCTTCTCTTCTCCTCACACACCTGATTGTAAAATTGATTGTAAAATTCACACTCAGTGTGAAATAGAGGCTTTTGGCTAAGATCAAGTGTAGTATCTGTTCTGATGTTACATCTTCGACGCACACGGGTCCTACCGGACCCGACTTAGGGCTAGAGGAACACATCAGGGCCTAAAGGCCCGACCTTGGGGGTACTACAGGCCATAAAGGCCTCACCTTGGACCAGACCCGACGGGCAGGCCCAAACGACATTACCGTTTGGGCCTGGCGGCGCTCTTGAGGCTGCTGCCCGCCGGTTGGGGCTGAACCGTCCATCTGGACGGTTCAGGGCATGGCCAGGCCTCGCAGCATTGAGGCCGGCCTCGGCCCCACCGGTATATAGAACCGGTCCAGCCAGAGTCCAGGATCGACCTACCGGCATTCTACCGGTACAGTATGGTACAGCGCGACACAGCGCTGGCGCTAAGATTAGCGCAGGAGCAGCGAGGACCAGCGCAGCGCAGATTAGCGCAGCAGCAGCAGCGGCGACTGGGTTACCGGCGGCCATAGCCGCCTGAGGTACTGGGAGTTGGAGGCTTCTCTCCTCCCTCCCATCGCCAGTCCCCTCTCTCTCTCTCTCCTCCTCGGCTCCTTCTTCTTCTTCTTCTTCTTCTTCTTCTTCTTCTTCTTCTTCTTCAGATGGAAGACTTATGCTAGTTGGACAGAGATCAGAGTTGGACTTCGGTGGTATGAGACTGTGGTACTTACCAGATTGGAGACTTGGAGATCGTTGGGGTTGATACTTGGCGACATCACATTTCAGACACCGGTTACATTTGGACCCTGTATCCCCGACATTGGTGACCTATGGTCCTCGACATTTTGATCTTGTTGGACAACATTTTGGACTACCATATCGGTGACCTATCAGATTCTACCTCGGTGAYTTTCGGTGCTGTCTACCTCCCCCCACCTCTTCGTCTCTCCTCCCCCATTCATCTGTGTATGTGTGTACGGGGCTGAGCATCTTCTATGTATGGCTCAGACCCCACCATCTCACGATTGAATGTGTGTGGAGTGATGCTATGTGAGTCAGTCTATGTGAGTCAGTCTATGTGAGTCAGTCTATGTGAGTCAGTCTATGTGAGTCAGTCCGTTTATCAGACTTCCGTTGCATCTATACTCATCCTACATTGGTTGATTCTTGGTTCTGCCCATACTCATTGGAGTATGTAACATCTGATCAGTTTAATATCTGATCTGTGGTCCATCGGACCAAAAAATAAATAAATAAAAATCGCACACACTCAAACACAGCCGGAAACTCAATCAGATGTAAGCACGGCAGTGCTCAGAGTTCAGTGGGAAGGCATTCATACATGTAAGAAGCCTCGCCTCATCATTAAAGCAGAGGCGGAGGTTGGGGAGATGAAGAAGAAGAAGGACAAAACAGAACATATTATAATCCCTCCCCCTTCAAATCTCCTCAATGCCGATATAATAATCTTTCCCCTTTCCAAAATCTCCTCCTCCTCCTGATCACCTCCAACCAACACAGCCGCCAATCTCTGTCCACGGAACAGCACTTCCAAAGATATAATAGTGAGTACCGGTCCTCTCTCTCTCTCTCTCTCTCTCTCTCTCTCTCTCTCTCTCTCTCTCTCTCTCTCTC